TAGCTCGGTGTCTCAATTGTCAGTAGGTGAAATATGAGCATCAGAGACCGAGTGGCTTGCTTCAGCAGATGGATATTCTAGAGTGGAAGTGGGAACAAATCATGATGGACTTTGTAGTTGGGTTTCCACGAACTTTGATGCTATTTGGGTGATTGTGGATCGGCTGACCAAGTCCGCACACTTCATTCCTGTGTGTACTACCTATTCTTCAGAGTGGTTGGTAGAGATCTATATCCGGGAGATTGTTCGTTTGCATGGTTTACCAGTTTCCATCATTTCAGATAGGGGCACTCAGTTTACATCACAGTTTTGGAGGTCTGTGCAACGAGAGTTGGGTACTCATATTGATTTGAGCACATCTTTTCACCCTTAGATGGACGGGAAGTCCGAGCGCACTATTCAGATATTGCAGGACATGTTGCGTGCTTGTGTCATTGATTTCAGAGGGTCATGGGATCAACNATGGACGGGCAGTCTGAGCGCACCATTCAGATATTGGAGGACATGTTGCATGCTAGTGTCATTGATTTCGGAGGGCCTTGGTATCAGCTTCTACCGCTTGCAGAGTTTGCTTATAACAACAACTACCAGTCGAGTATTCAGATGGCTCCATATGAGGCTTTGTATGAGAGGCGGTGTAGATCTCCAATTGGTTGGTTCGAGCCCAGTGAGGCTAGGCTATTAGGGACAAACTTGGTGTAGGATGCCTTAGAGAAGGTGAAAGTGATTCAGGAGAGGTTTTGTACAGTGCAGTCAAGGCAAAAGAGCTATGTTGATAGGAAGGTTCGGGATGTGTCCTACATGGTTGGCGAGAAGGTTCTGTTGAAGGTTTCACCCATGAAAGGTGTTATGAGATTTGGGAAGAAAGAGAAATTGAGTCCTCGGTTCATTGGGCCTTTTGAGGTGCTTCGGAGGATTGGGGAGGTGGCTTATGATCTTGCTTTGCCACCCAGCTTATCGAGTGTGCTTCCGGTATTTCATGTTTCTATGCTCCGGAAGTATATTGGGGTATCATCTCATGTTCTAGATTTCAGCACGGTTCAGTTGGATGATGATTTGACTTATGATGTGGAGCCAATAGCTATTTTGGGTCGTCAGGTTTGAAAGTTGAAGTCAAAGGATATAGCTTCAGTGAAAGTGCAGTGGAGAGGTCGGCCTGTAGAGGAGGCTACCTGGGAGACTGAGCGGAATATGCGGAGCAAATATCCTCACCTGTTTGAGGCTTCAGGTATGTTTCTTGATTCATTTGCGGATGAACGTTTGTTTAAGTTGGGGAGGATGTGACGACCCGGCCAGTCGTCTCATGAGTTACCGCTCCGTTTTCCCCTATTTCTGTTTCTTTATGCTTTGTTTATCCGTGTTATGTGGTATCGGGTTGGTCGGATTGAATCCGGAATGATTTTGATAAGGTTTGAGACACTTAGTCTCTTTTAAGAAAGTTTAAGTTGGAAAAGTCAATCAGATGTTGACTTATGTGTTAGAGGGATCGGATGTGAGTTTCGATTTTTCGGTTACCTTCGGGAGGTGATTTGTGACTTGGGAGCGTGATCGTAATGAATTTTGGAGGTTCGTAGTAGATTTAGGCTTGAATAGGCGAAGTTGATATTTTGGCGATTTCTGGTTGGTATGCGAGATTTTGATATAGAGTTCGGAATAGAATTCCGAGAGTTTCAGTAGTTCCGTTGTGTCATTTGGGATGTGTGTGCAAAATTTCAGGTCATTTGGACGTGGTTTGGTTGGGTTTTTGATCAAAAGCAGAATTTGGTAGATTTTAGAAAATTTGGCTTGAATCCAATGTGTTTTAGTTGATTTGATGTTGTTTGAGGTGTTTTGAAGATTGGTACAAGTTCGAATAAATTATTAGGATATGTTTGTGCTTTTGGTTGAGATCCCCGGGGCCTTGGGGTGATTTCGGATGGTTAACGGAGAAGTTGGAATTCTGTTGCAGCTGCTGAATTTGCTGCTTCTGGTATTTCCGCACCTGCAGATTGGGACCGCAGGTGTGATGAAGGAGGTCGCAGAAGCGGAAAGTGCTGATGGAGTCAGGGACCGCAGAAGCGGTAAGATGGATCGCATCTGCGATGTGGATGAGGGATTGCAGATGCAAAAAATATTGAGTTAAGTGATTTCCGCAGAACGGAGAAATAACCGCAAATGCAAAACCGCAGAAGCGGGGTATTGATTTGCAAATGCGAAAAGCTTTGGGCAGAAAGTATAAATTGTGGCCTTCGCGAATTTTGAGCTATTTCACCATTTTTATCTCGCTTGGGAGCTTTTTGAACGATTTGGAAGGGGGATTTCAAGGGAACTTCATTGAGGTAAGGAATTTGGACCTAAAACTCGTTCCTATGCTATTATTTCATGGAGTAGAGCTAGAAATCATGGGAATTAAGGGTGAAAATTGGGGAAACTAGGGCTTGGGAACTTAGACCTTTAATTAGGGAATTGAAGGACCATTTCAGATCGAATTTGAGAACTTTTGATATGTATGAACTCGTGGGGAGATAAGGAATCTATTGATGTAAAAATTATTAAATTCCGAGACGTGAGCCCGGGGGTCGGGTTTTGGTAAATTCGGGATTTGTGTTGTATTTTGATTATTTTCGCTTGGGCTTCGTTCCCTTAGCATATTTTGACGTCCTCGTTCTGATTTTGGATAGATTCGACGCGAGTGGAGGCCAATTCGAGGGGCAAAGGCATCACAAGCTAGAGATTTGACCGGTTCGAGGTGAGTAATGTTTGTAAATGATGTTCTGAGGGTTTGAAATCCCGGATTGCACATCGTAGTGCTATATTGAGGTGAGAAACACACTTGATGACGAGCGTGGGGTCGTGCACTATTGGGGATTTTGACTCGGTCCATCACGACTGATGATTTTACCACGTATTTGACTGAAATCTATTTGTTATCATCATTATTTGTGCTGAATGCCATATTTAGGCCTTGTGCTAACTATTTGAACCCTTCGGGGATTTTTACTAGTATTTCCTCACTGTTTTGACTTTATATTTGAACTCAGTCATGTTATATTTCACTGTTTTTCGTACTCAGCCATGTTTACTTTGTTTTTAACACTTACATGATCTTTTAAATGATATTTTGGGCTGAGAAACATGTTTTACTGCTCGAGTGCCTTGTGAGGATATTTGGCTGAATAAGGCCGAGGGCCTATGTTGTGAGGAGACATTTGATACTAATTATGAGATCGTGGGCCTGAGATATGTACGCCACGAGGTGGCTTGATTGATATGAGGCCGAGGGCCTAGTGATGATGCCACGAGGTGGCTTGATATTGCGCTTAGGCCGTAAGGGGCCCCTCCAGGAGTCTGTACACCCCCAGTGAGCGGGAGTACCCATTGTGAAGTGAGATTGAGCCCGGGGGGCTGGTATTGTTCTATGTGATTGCCTGAGGGGCTAGTACTATTCTGAGATGTTGCCCGATGGGCGGATTTGTTGACATTGTGCTCGAGGGGCGAACCTTTATGTGTTTAATTTTTATAATTGACTGTCAATTACCTGCTTAATTATTGAATAAGGCTTTTTATAAAACTACGTTTGAGTTA